AGGTGTAACAACACCCCTTTCATGGCACAACAATAGGTATTAGTACTACTATAATTTATTTATGAAGGCAGATTAGAAGCCAAGTTGATTGCTTTCAAGGCCCTTGTGCACCGTCCACACAACCATATCACTACTGCCAGGTCTTTTGTTTATGTAACATTCACCTGGTGCAGAGTCAGCAGGAGGCCAGTTTGCCACTCACCCTGGGAGCAGCAGAAGCTCATTTCCCCCCAGTACAGTGGCAGCAAGAGGACAAGATAGCAACAACTGTTCTGCTCACAGGCACCTCACTTCACCTCCCACTCAGCACCTCTAAAGAAGCCATGTATCCTGTATGTGTACGTCCCATTCTCTCTAAACACATGTCCTGAACAGTCCACAGGAGCCTAGCAAACTCTGCTTGACCTGTGGTTGCACTTCAACAGCCAAGCAAGCACAGACTGATCTGGGAAGTACAAACCACTTTCCCACTGCCCAGCAAGCTGTGCAGCCATGAGCACACATGGCATGAATCCCAAGATTCCCTCTATGTTCCCTCTATTAGTCTGGCCAACTTCAGAAGCTACTGTAGAAAAGCTGTGTGCCCCCCTTGTGGAGGTTTGCTACCACATAAGAGGGTGGAAGGAGCAAGGTGTATTCCTGCCCCTTCCAATCCAGGCACAAACAGCATCTATGAGAACTGAGATCTATTATTCCACACCAAGTGCTTCCTACCTTGGTTCTCCATCTTTTAGAAAAAGAAACTGAGGACAAAATGTTCCTAAATTAAAATGTTCCCAAAAATAAAACCTGACATTGATTGCTTTCCTAGCTTTTGCTCTTGTGCCAACTTCCAAGCACACTTACATTTGAAATTTTTATTGTTATCCCCCTACTGAGGTTTGCAGTATTCAATTTCCTTATTAGGGTGCACCCTGTTGATTTCAGTATGAAGGAGTTTACTCAGGTTGTCATTTTACAAAAGGGGGAGTAGATTAAGAGGCAGTTGAACCAATCCATGAATATATATTTGAAGCCAGAAAATATTTTCTGTAAGTTAGAAGCCCAAAGACTTTGGTGTCTTGTTTTTATTTTGGGAGGCTTGTTAGGCTCTTGTGTGTGTGGTTGCTTTTGCGGTGTTTGTTTTGGGGGTTTTTTGGTTTGTTTGTTTAAACATGAAATAGGGTGCACAACCCTTACCAATCTTTTGGTTCATTTTAAGACCAACACAGACAAAAGTTTGTTCTTTTGACACTGGATGTCCACTCTTTGCAACAACACTCTTCAGTAAGGGTGTAGACATAGAGGACACAGGACTAGAATTTACTACATATTACTCTCTACATATTTGTCAAATGGGCTAACAGGATCAAACAGAAAGAGTTTATTTATAGTAAAGTATGAAAAGTACCTTGGAAATATAAAAGCAAGCCAAACTGCAACATGGGGAATAGATAACACCCTTTGGAGAGCATCCCCAGTGCTATTACATATTGCAGCAGGTAAACAGAGAAGCTATGCTCACCATGTTGACTCACAACTGTTTTCAAGAATGGCAATAACTTCTCATCATCAATTACTGAAGGCAACTTGGTATGTGACATTACACCTGCTCTGTTTTATTAAAAGCAAGTTGTTGCTCTAGTTAATCCTTCTGAATGTCAATTCAAACTGGAAACCAAGTTTTTAGCTCTCCTCTAACTTGCATTGATGAAAAGTTTGAATGTCTGCAGCTTTGGCCTTCCGGGCTGTCAGTAGTTATGGTGAGAAGCTGTAGTGCAGGTCCCAAATTCACGGCAGAGAAGCAGCAGCTCGCACAGCTACCCATGCTCAGCTACCCCACCACAGTTACTCCATGCAGCCAGCTCATGGCATGAAGCTGCTGAAGGGTCTGGGGCACAAGTCTGAAGAGGAGTAACTGAGGGAGAAAAGGAGGATCATTTATCATTCTCTACAGTGACCTGAAAGGAGGCTGTAGTGAAATGGGGCTCTTTTTCCAACTAAAAAGTGACAGGACAAGAAGAAACGGATTTAAATTGTCCACAGAAAGGTTTAGATTGGATATTTGGGAAACTTTCTTCACGGAAAGGGTTGTCAAGCACTGGAACAGACTGCCCAGAATTTGAGTCATCAACCTTGGAGATATTTAAAAAATGTGTAGATGTGGCTCTCAGGGACATGGCTTAGTGGTGGACTTGGCAATGCTGAGCTGAAAGTTGGACTCAATCATAAGGCGTTTTTCAACTTTAATGATTTCATGATTCTGTGAATATTTTAACTTGAGCTAGTCTGGTTTGATCCATGTGAATAGAGAAACACCCCAACTTAAGCTGTACTACTCAAGTGAGGACAAGTCATTAATCACAATAGCACTTTAGCTTCCCATATGCGTTATGACAGCAGACAGTGCAAGAGGAGAAATGAGAACATTACATTCTTATATTAGGAAGGAGATAGGAAGAAAAAGGGTATAAGAAAATACCTCTACTTGAAATACAAAAAACCCCAACTTGCCCAAAGAGCACATCATCAAAGACAAAATAACTCTCCAGATTCATAGAGCCATTTATCTCTACCTTTGATATCAAACAGAAAACAACTGAACTTGCAGGATCTAAGGATAACTGCTGCTTTCATTTCATTTTTCAATTAAAACATGCCTGCTCTATATTTCACTTTTTGGTTGACTTGGTGACTCAGGCTGTATCAGGCTCTCAAAGCAACATGATACTTGTCACCACTGTAGAAGTATATGCCTCCTTATATTCTCCAACCTCATTGTCTCCAACTGTAGGCTGTTTCCATGACTTTCATCAGACCCATACAGACCTGACTTATTAGTCACCACACCAGTGGCCCCCAAAACCACATCCATTCTGATTAGTTGGTCTTTAGTTCTTTGAAATACTTTTTCAAATTAGCAATCATTTTATCTTTTCTAAATATCAATCAGATAAGGGTGACTCATCAAATGCTATCTTGCTCTGTTGTAAAGCTAAAATAAATGGCTTTAACCTAGACATACTTTGTTCTGAGCATGACTGGGCAAAAACCTCACACCACCATCTATTCCAGTGGCATCAACACTGCAGACTAGGATCAGCAATCCTGAGTACAAAGCCATCTGCCCCACCAAGGACAAGCATGCAGGATTACTCCCTCTTCCATACTGTCCATCCCCTAGATCAGACTAGATTGAGCTAAACTGAAAGATTCAGCATGAAGACTGTAGAATCTGTGCTGATATCTCTGTACTAAGTAGCCAAAATCAAGAATGGGCCAGATGGCATTGAATGAAAAATAGTAATATATACCTATATACAGCTGTGCAATATCTTCTACATACCATGGCTTCAAACACACTATGATGCCAGGCAAAAGGTAAAAACCTGGCCATATTCAATGGCACTGCTTGTATATGCAAATGAATAGTACTTACAAACTCACTACTTCAGGGACATACACAGAGACAGCAAAAATTAGATTTTTCAAAAGGAACATCCTCTTTCCATTACAGAAATAATAAAACAGCATGCCAAATTTATTTGGGCCTATACACTCTGATACACTGGAAATTTAAGTCAAAAGTATGTTTTCTAAAAAAATACTTTGAATAGTTGCTTCTCAGTGACTGATGGAAGATAAATAATCCCTAGTAGCCACCAAGTTGAGGCATGTAACGGGTTTCTACCTCATACAGTTTATTATGAATACTAACAATAGTTTTCTCTTTCAGGTTCCTAGTAACAGAAAAGATTACCTGAACGAAACCATTTTGCTGCATTTCTACAGCTCAATTGTTAAAGGCTGTAATGGAGTGTTGTTTTCCCCAGTATGAAACATCCCCAGGTCACTTAGCACTGACAGTGACATCACACTTGAATAATCTTTAGGGAGCAACAAAAAGCATGCATTTTTCAACAGTTTCCTTCTAAGAAACCACTTCTGAGTTCAGAAAGGCCCAGGGAAATCTCTCTGGAAGGTGGACACAACTAACAGCACACTCCTAAATAATGAATGTGGGCATGTTAGCATTTCTATGACAGTTTCTGTGAAGAATTCTCTCTGCTGTAAGTTAATGCAGTTATGTGGAAGTCAGAAGCAGCAGTAAAATAAAATTGCTGAAGCTGCAGTTGTAGTTTTTTAAAAGGAAATATATAAGCAAACTGATTGTAACAGAAAACTGCACATGCTCTGATAATTCACTGTTGTCAGGTGACAATTCCACTAAACTCCTACTAATAGAGAAGAAAAAAGTGCTCTCCTTCATTCCACTGAAATTATTTGTTTCGTCAAGTGCCAGTCAACTGTCACATCTCACAGCAGTTTCAAAGGTCTGGTCTATCTACAACATCCTGAGCTCATGCTCTCATCTCCCCCCAGAAAATCAGTATCACTGCAATCCCTGCTTCTTTCAACTGGTTATGGGCTACCTGCTGTATCCTGAATTATAACTACATGCATATACTAAATACATACAGATGCAGCTTAACATCTGAAATCCTATTCAAAGAAAAAACAGTTTATAACTGGCTTACAAAGAAACACAGGAAATCAAAGATTTTTCTTTTTTTTCCCTGTTATTTCCCAGTCCTGAACAGGATTTACACATGAAACATTTAAATCAAGATCATAAACAAAATCATGGATGATTAAAAGATCTAAAGCATTACTGGAAGCAACTTGTTAACACTGTAAGCCTTACAGATAATAGATGAACTTGCTGAGATGCATTATTTGGTCAGTATTTCTCATTTGGGTTAATGAAACATGATGGATAGCCAAATGATAGGCAATCTTTCTTCAATATACTGAGTCAAGCAAGTATCCCACTATTAAAGTGCAAAACATTTCAGCACAAGACATTTCAACAAGGCATACAGCTCTTCATATAAGTGTAGCTGCTATAGGAAGCAGACATGACCTTTATTACAGGCTTTGAAATCCATAACTTTTCTACCAATTCCCTCAAGACAAAATATGAAAATACTTAAAAAAAAAAAAAAAAAAAGAAATCTTACGGCTTGAAATGCAGTAAGCCAGCCTGCAGTTGATCCTCCTGAACAGTTGCTTGTTGATTGGCCAAAGTATAAGTGTAAAGAGTTGAATGAAGTTAATGATCAGTCCTGACACTATAAATATGTAGCAGATCAGAAGGTGGCAAATGAATTGCGACTTCAGAAAGCCAACGATGTCCATGATTTGCTGAGAAAGCAAGAGGGTACCTTCAGACAAAATTCAGAAGACAACCTGCAAAACCAAATAGTATCAGCAGTTACGGAGTGCATTTATTTCTACAGACAGACTTAAAACAGACTTCATGCTTACACTTAAAATTAAATCTATGGTAGGAAAAAGCCTGATGTCAGTATTTTCAAAAGTAACAATGGAAAGAGAATACTGTATTTGTGAATCAATTTACATTTGTCTTTGGAAACAAGTTTTCAAATTTCAGTCTTAACTTGGAAAAGCCCATGAGTGTATGATTCCATTCCATGGACTACAATACTCTTCTATATAAGGTCTTCATTGATAAAATATTTTGGTTTGAACTATATGATAGCTTTGATATGAACTTATATTTTTATTTGAATTGTCTGTACTTCATAAGACCTATACTGTCACCTGTGTAATATTCAGGAGCAGCTTCAAAGTAAATGCAAACTTTAGAGCTTAGGAGATGTGCTTTTCTCTACAAGCTATGCCAGACATGGTCCCCAAACAAGACGTAGCAGCAGCCCCTTATTTCTAGCTTTATTGTCTTCCTCCCCTCTCATACTCAAATAACAGTTGATTTTGGCAAGAGAAGAAAAGCTGGGCTATGCACAATGCACACAATTTGTTCAATTATTCTTTGACACTGATTCTGTCAGTTATAATCCATAAAGCCAGAAATGAAACATCAATAACAGTAGTAACCCATGACCCAGCAGTGTTTCCACTAAAGAATCAACTCTACGGTTACTTATGAAATGTTTGTATAATTTTGGGAAGGTCCAGTCCAACATTAGCAATTAAGCATTCAGAGGAAATGTCCTCTGCAGAGTATTCTGACCTATCAAATCTTGTACTGACCTCCCCCTACCATCACTACCACCACTGCAAGAATGAAGACACATCTCACAGTAAACACAACCCCCAGCATTCTGAATGCAGTTAGTCAGGAGGTGCTCTGCCATGCTGTTCCATTCCTTCACTGCTTCTCCCTCTGAGGCATGGAAGAGTTTTCCCAGGGAGGAAGCCCTGAGACAGTACTTCTGAATGTGCCAGTCACATGCAGTAGCAAAACAGCAGCTGTCAGCAGCCTAGGGAATTATCTGATGAAAAAAATCTTTATGCCTATCCTTTTAGTTTATATGAGATCCCATTATGTGAGGCACTGAGTCTTAGATCAGTGTCCTGAAACATTTATTTTACCACCCTTTGCTGACTCTGCTCGCCACAGCAAAGTGCACACATAAGAACTGCTCAGAATCTTCAGAAGTTATTTAGCCAGTTTTTCAACCACAAGGAAGATGAAGAAAATTTTAAGAAAGAGAATCAGTATTGTTGTATAATCTATATAAAGAGTTTATGGCAGTCCCAAGCCTATTATTAGCAGACAAAATGTGCCCTTTTGTTCCCTTTATCTTGCTGTACTATTCAGTACCACAGCTGACACCAGCTGTAGCTCAGGACGGCAGAACAGGCCTCTATTCATTGTAGTAAACACTGCCATGATACTCAGAAAAAGCTTTTCCAGCTTTAACAAGCCTTCCTGTTAAAGGTACAATTCTTAGGGTGGCACACAATTTACTAATTTGGGCTTTGACCAAAGGCTTTGTTTTTGAAGGCTAAGCAGAACGAGAAATGCTGTCTAGTAGGAAACACTGCTGTGTTTCTTCTCCAGCCCTTCCACTGAACACTCAGAAGACAAAGCCAATCTATTAAAAAGGCAGCAACCTTCTTTAAAACAGAACAGAAGCAACCAGCTACCTGCAAGTGGATGGTTTCAAAGACTCTACAGTGTCCAAAAACCTGATGACTGGGTTTATTATTTAGTCCTTGGCTAAAACTGATCAAAAGGGTTTTTTTGTGATAGTCTGCCTGTTTAATTCTATCCCACAGAATCACAGTAACCTAATTCCCAGAGATCAGTAAGACATGGGAAAAAACATAAAAACAGCAGCCACAAATAAAGACTGTAGCACTGTTTACTTAGTGAAGACCTGAAAACTCACTATTTGATATAAACAACATAAATCTACTGTAGTAAGAAGCTGACAGACAGGCTTTGTAACAAAAATAATTAGGTCTTTTGTCCACCAATTAATCCAGCAACTCTTTTTTTTTTGTTACCTTTTCATTATAACAGATGTCAAACTTTATTAAAATGCTATGTTTATGTGAATCATTTACTTCCTGCTGGGTCTTTAAAATAAAACTTCGCAGAAATAAAATAAACACATATGCAATAACACTGATAAAACATAATTATTGCCTTACAATTTTATTAAGCCACAATAGAATGTCTGAAAGTAATTAATTCCTCACTTTCTTACTTCAGCCATCAAACTTCATTTTGGTAAAGCTTCAGAGAGCTGTTTTAAGGCAAACTAAATCTACTTAAGCAATAGCATTCAAAGGCATCTAACCTAACTGGCTTGCAAAAGTAACAACAAATGAGAGACACTGCATTAATTCTTCTTTTCCGAAAAGTAGGGACCACAGAGAGAAATTTTCTCTTTTGACTAAATGCAATCTGTTTTCCCTATAAAATGTGCCAACTAAACATTGTATATGGAATGGTTGCTAAGTTTTTGTTTCTTAGACATAAGCTCATTCTTAAAAGATTTTTTCTGGACTGTTTTTATTACCCAAACTCCAAGAATGCAATGCATTCTTGGTACAAGTAACAAAAATAATCAGTTCTGATCTTATGAATGAGGTCTAGAAACATGGGTTTAATAGCCCACAGGAACACCTTACATTTACTCTTTCGCTTCCTAAAAGTCCTCAAGGATGACATCAACATAACACCAGTTTAAGTGATAAAAGAGTCAGGTCTTTAATTCTTAATCCATGATGCTGGTTTAATAAATTAGTGATTTCTTTATAGATAATGACTGAAAAATACAGCAATCTTTTAAAAACAAAAGGGCAAATCAATGCATTTTCTTAGAGGCTATTAAGATCAGAATGCTGCCAAGAAGCTCTCTTCTATCAAACACCCTTTAAAATTAATTAGGAGAAAATGGCTAGCTAGAGCACCTAAACCATAGACATTCTTTAATAACAGTTTTCCTTTGGATACAGAACAAAAGACTCAAACCTCAAATGTCTGTTTAGGGACTAAGTCAACAAGCATCTATTCGTGAGACTAAGAGGTCACACGTTCAGGTTTAAAAGCAAATTACATGACTATTCATTCTAACTCTTTCCCCTCCAACTTCCAGTCCTCAGCAAGATTTACTGTGTTTTCCACTTCAACTACGCTCAGCATTTCCTTCTGCTTAGACTAACTGATCAGGAGGACATAGAAGCGATACGCCAGGTGAAGAACTCTATGCCAGCAGATGCTGCTGCCAGTGAACAGCATTCTATTAGAACTATCCAGTTCTATTTCGTACTTCCAAGCTACAACTAGAGATTTCATAAAGAACACAACTGTTGGCACTTTTAGAGGAAGCACACGAATGAAGCAAGAAACTGCCACTATTTCAAAAGTTCACGTAGTATATAGAGTTCTCGGAGTGTGGAAAGCAACATGATACGTATCTGACAGCATCTAGATTGAGCTGATATCACTCACTTAGAGAGGCAAGTCATCAGTATACCTTTTTTTTTTCAGTACATATTTCAAGCATACATGAAAGTTTTCACTTACATCTAGTCTTTGATTCAGTCCTCAAATGCTTTGCTGCAAGTTAAAAACAGCCAACCAGATGATAATACTGCCCATTCTTGCATTTTCTCATCTAAACCAGATTCTTGGATGGATGAGTTACAAAGACTATTATGAAAATATGCTCAGGTCAGATTGAGCAGTTTCAGTAGCACCTTTTAAGTCAGTATCAGCTGCCACCAAAAGCCCTGTATTTGGCACTGGTGAAGCCACAATTGAGTACTGCATCCAGTTCTGGGCTCCTCACTACAAGAAGGACATTGAGGTGCTGGAGCAAGTCCAGACAGAGAAGGGCAAAGGAGCTGGTGAAGGGTGTGGGGCACAAGTCCTGTGAGGAGTGGCTGAGGGAGCTGGGGGTGTTTAGCCTGGATAAGAGGAGGCTCAGGGGTGACCTTGTTGCTCTCTACAACTGCCTGAAAGGAGGGTGTAGCCAGGTGGGGGTCTGCCTCTTCTACCAGGCAACCAGGGACAGAACAGCAGGACACAGTCTTAAGCTGTGCAAGGGGAGGTTCAGGCTGGATATCAAGAGGAATTTCTTCACAGAAGGGGTGATTAGACACTAGAATGTGCTGCCTAGAGCGGTGGTGGAGTCACTGACACTGGAGGTGTTTAACTGGACCTGGCACTCAGTGCCATGGTCTGGCTGACATGGTGGTGTGTTCAGTCACAGGATGGACTCGATCTCTGAGGTCTTTTCCAACCTAAATGATTCTGTGAAAACATCACAGACATATATATGCAGCACTGCATATACATCAGTCTATTTTAACAGTGCTGCTGTACATGAAATACATATGCAAAGCAAGTCACAGGAAGCCCCCGTGCTCTGCTCTGTCAGTGAGCATCAAGCTAGCAAAAGTGAGCTTGCATCTGTGTTTGTATTCATCTGCAAGAAGACTGCATCTGTACACACCTCACCAAAAAAAAAAACCCAAATCTGGAAGAAGAATTATCTATTTGCCTCATACTTTATTAGGGTTTGAATCACTTTCCATCTCCCCCAAAGGCAATTACTAGAGCATTTTTTACCTGCCTTTCTTTGTTATCAGCTGATGGTAAGTTTTATTAAAGTTCTCTAAGTAGAGTCTGTTTTGACCATGATGGTAACTGGTGAATGAATCCCCCTGTCCTTACCTCAACCCACAAACTTTTTTGTCCTATTCTCTTCCCTTGTCCTGCTGAGGAAGGGGAGTGAGGGAACTGTTCAGTGTAAACCTGGAAATCAGCCAAGATCAACCCACCACAATTTCTCCAAAAACTCCCAAACTGGGGAATAATTGGAGCGTATCTTAAGACCTTCCCCAAAGTTAAGGAATCCTTTTAGATTTTCATGAGGAGTCCTGCATTCCTGAGCTGCACATTGTTA